TATCTTTGTATTTTCTTCTTTCCTTTCTTGAAGTTCTTTGTGACTCTTGGAAGATAAGTGTGTTTGTCTTCCACTTGTAAATTTTCTTGATGAATTAATGAAAGTGTTATTGATAAAAAAAAAAAAGTCTTTGGGTTTGGTTGGGGTGCAGTTCTGCTTCCCAGGACTGATGGAGTTGCTTTGGTGTTGGAATTTAGCTGGTCTATCTAAGAAAGGAAAAGTTATTTGGGGAGTTATTCCACCAGCGGTGCTGTGGACAATCTGGACAGCAAGAAACAGGAGAATTTTTTAAGATATGTTCAACACAAAGAATATACCATACAGCTCTTTTTTTATTTTATTTTTATTTTTTATTTTATATCAGTAACCTTTTTGTATCTACTTGGTTGAGATGGGGTTTTTTTTTTTTCCAGATGTACAAAGAATATCTGTTCCCTGCCCAGTGTCTTATTGTGCAGGGTTTTCTATTTATCCTTATTAATGAAATACTTTACTTTTTCTTAAAAAAAGTACTTCAACAGGACCAAGTGTTTGTATGAGTGGTTCAGTGGTTCAGTGGTTAAAGATGATTAATGATTTAACTGGATTTAAATTATTCTAGGCTCCACAACACCCCTAAATCTTTCTGGATGATTTTGGACTTTGAATGGAATGAGACAATTGGGGTTTATATCTAGATTATGTTCTCACAATTGTTCCCTTACTCTTTCTAGCATTAATGGAGCCGAAAGTTGGTTTGTGCAAGTTTTGTGGTTTCTTAGTGTTGATGTTGGTGCCCAATTTTAACTATTGATTATTCGCTAGATCTGAAGAAACATAAGAAGTAGCAGGAGATATTTTGTTTATATTTAATATTGATACAATTATAGCACATGCATACACATGCATATACTACCAAATGCAATATAATGAATGTTTAATGTTTTCCATGTTGGAATTTTCTTCTAATATAATAATCGGTCTGTCTCTCTACACTCTATCCAACTCTAGAATTTAGAAGTAGTTATATACTACCAATTCCCTCCCTTCCTCCTACTTTGATTTTTTTTTTGCTTCTTTTCCTTTGAAGGATTTCACTAATTTTGATGTCTGGTGTGCATGGAAGTATGTAATCTTTCGTCGAGGCATTGGAATTGATCGCACAACTGATTACTTTTTCATGGAGAAAGTGGACATGATCATTGCTCGTTTATGGGCATGTATTCTCAAAGTAACAGGGTAAGTGTTTAACTGTTTCCTTTATTTAGTTCTTTATGAAGAAATAGAAACATCTCCAATGCTCTATGCTGCTTAAACCTTTTTCAAAGGGCTCCCATAACCACAATCTCATTGCAAAATATGGAATATAAATACATTTCTTGTCAAGTTAGATAAATTGAATCTGACATAATTGGATGCCTGTTTATTCCTACTTCAAAATAAATTGTGCCCCCTGCACCCCTGGTTAATTATCCAAGCTTGAACCCTTGCTTCAGGACAAAGTGCTAACACCTATTGATAAAAAAAAAGGGCTAAGTGCTAATACCCGAGATGAAAGCTTACCTGAAGTGCTTTGTTCATTGTTTGGGTTCTTTCTGGAACAAAATGGTAAAAATTATGAGATTATTGGACATCTACTGATGACTGTTTCCAGTTTTCATAGGGAAATCTCTGGGAATTATGGTGTTACAAACTCAATATTATTGCTTCATTTAAAAAGAGAGAAACAAATATTGTTGCTTCATTTGATGCTTCAATTACTTATTGGTTATAGTTTCTTTGTTCAATATTGTTTTTTTTTATGAATGAATAAATAGTTTTATTAAAGAAAACAAAAGAGAGTACAAACATCCTTGGAGGAGGCACGAGGTGCTACCTCCCCTTTAGGGTGAGTACAAACCCATATTTTAACAAGAACAGAATAAAACTATAGATTAGTCCAATACAAAGAAGCCCGAGAAACCCCTTGTTTGGCCAGAGAGTCTGCCAAAGCATTTGTTGATCTACTAATCCACTGGAAATTGATTGGCATATTCCTTGTGACCCATTTCACTTTTTTCAGGAGATCTCTGTAACCCCAAACAGCACTGATCAGATTCAGCAACCAGCTCACTACCACCTTGGAGCCACCTTGTACCACTAGGTTCTGCACCCCAAGTTGGTTAGCAATTTGTAGGCCTTGTACAGCTGCAAGTATTTCAGCCCTTGTTAAATCTCCAACTCCTACAAGACCTGAGAATAAAGAGAAAATATTGCCATCCTTGTCCCTCAAAACCCCTCCAATGCCTGAGGGTCCTGGGTTGCCTTGGCTGCTACCATCAAAGTTCAGCTTTACAACCTCTTCTGGAGGGGGTGTCCACCTTACTTGTTTCCTACTCTTCTTAGAGACTACAGAAGCCACCATTACCCAACCCCTCTGAATGTCATCAGAGGAATAATCCACAAACAAATCAGAAGTCTTTAGCCAAAAGATGGTGCTTGTTAAAATACACTCCTTAGCTTCTTCAAGACTCCTTTCTTTTCCTTAGGAATATCCTGGCATTCCATTCTTCCCAAATAGTCTAAACTGTAGCTGCTCTTATGCATTTCCACATCAGTTTTCCTCTCTTCATTGGCCACCGAAAAGTTGACGGGTCAAAGAGTATTTTTACTTCAGAAAGCAACTTCCACCTGCACCCAAATAAAGAGAAAGCCCAATTCCAAATATCTGTAGCAAAGGAACAGGATAGCAGCAAATGTAACAGTCCTCATTCTGCACTTTACACATTGTACACCAGTTTGGGGATAGACACAAATAAGGTCTCTTCTTTTACAGGTTATCCAAAGTATTAATCTTCCCATGATAACTCTCCCAACAAAAGGCAATTATTTGGGGGGGGGGGTAGACCTAGACCAAATTTCTTTCACTGGGAAAACCCAAGGGGAAGAAGATCCTAGGGACTTAAAAAAGGAAGCACAAGTAAAAAAGCCATTAGACATCAGGGTCCAAACTCTTTTATCTGGATTGAGGGGGTCCAAGCAAGCAGAATCCAACAATAATAAAAGCTCAGAGACACAAACAAGTTCCTCGTCATTTAGGCCTCTACGAAACCCAAGATCCCAGGCAGGAGATAAAGGGAGAACTGTGTGATGAAGAAACCTCGAAACAGGCTCCTTCTTGAAGAGGGAGATAGTATAAAGAGAGGTGTAAAGATCTTTTAAAGGTTGATTCCCCACCCAAGCATCTTCCCCAAAAGAACAGAGTTATCTAAGCAAACATCATACCTTACAAACTCGAGGAATTTAGAGAGAATTCTGGAAATTGCCTTCCAAGGAGTACTGTTCAATATTGTTTTTCTGCAATAAAATAAAATAGTAAATTTTATGAAAATTAGACATGTATCTATAACTGCTTCCAGTTTTTGTCAAGAAACCTCTGGGAATTATGTTGTTTCCAATGGTATCTTATTCCTTCATATGCTCCATTTGACAGTTAGGCTTGTGGGTTATGTGGTTTACAGGTTACAACGTATTCTCTCCAGAAAGCCAAGTGCACGCCATGCAAAAGATCCAAAGAAAACTGATGAAATAAGCACTGAAGTGGAGCAAGAACTATGTGTTCAACGAATTCGAATTGAAAATATGGAGCTTAGGTTTGACTAGCATCCTTGTGATGGATTTAAATAGTTAATGCACATTCTTTTGTAATACTCAAAATGTGGATCACATTGTTGAAGCTGTCTCTCCAAAATTCCAAGTAATGCCTGATGCAATATCAATTAGATGGTACTGGTAGGAAAAAAGGTTTACCATGTGAAATTTGTTAATAATGCTATTTGAGAAACATATTATGATGCATGTGTGTACATAAAAAACTAGCAGTCAGCTAAGCTCCTGGGTGACCACACTACTGACCAGGTTTCTGACAGTTGGTATCAATTCTTAAACCAGTTCAATGACAATAGAAACCCAGTAGGGGATTATTTTAGGTGTTCTGGAACTTTAGAAATAACAATGGGCAATGTCAGATATAAAAACATAAATAGAAGGGCAGCCCAGTGCACAAGGCTCCTGCCAATGCAAGGTCTGGGGAGGGACAGATGTACACAGCCTTACCCCTGCACATACAGAGAGGCTGTTCCCAAGATTTTAACCCTGGTCACCCAGGTCGCAATGGAGCAACCCAACTGTTGTGCCAAGGCCTGGCCTCATTAAAAAACATAAATAAGGGTACACAATAATGAGTTTTAGAGGAAGGGGCCACATACATCTAAATGTTGCCTGCCCGCAAGTCTGATGCATATATAGATTATATTATGTACCTAATTGTATAATATTTTGTCCATGATAACCTTTCACATGTTGATGGTGTAAATTGGGATTCTTTTGTGACACTAATATTTTTATGTTCCCAGCATGCGCAATCTGCTTAGCAAGATCACAATCCAGGAACCAACCTTTGACAGGATTATTGTTCTTTATAGGTACAAACTCTTTTATCTTTATTTTTTTATCAGCAAGATATCCAAAGGAATTCATTTTACAGAATAAAATAAAGTACAGTGGAACCAAAACAGTATAGACACCAATCATAAGCATACTATTGTAATAGCATTTACAATCATATTTCCTTCCCAGAGGCTTGACAGAATGGATCAGCCTTCCCCACTCTTTCCCTAGCTAGACCATTAGCTAGGGAGTTGATCTTGGGATCAAAATAGTACAAGCACCGACCTGACTGAGCTATTCAATGTGGAAGCCAACAATTGTGCTTCTCTAATCAAGTTTCTGAGTGCCCAGGGCCAATCTTCTGTAGAAAGCATCCATCTTATCATCATCTGCCATACTTCTGATGGCTGATTGGAAATTGTATCCAAATTCAAAGAGTTCTTTGAATCAATTCCAATAAACTCTTGTTTTTTTATGGGGATTGAACATAAACAAACATATATGTAGTCACTGTTGAAAGCAATGTGAGAAAGTTCACATTTTTACATGCCTTCTAGTTTCTTCACATAAAGAAAATGGTATTTCTTAGCGACTGAAGCCTTGAGATATCCTTGATATGTGGATTCCCATTTGACGAGTAAACAAGATTTCCAGGTAAAGAAATTCATAATCAGATGATTGTCATGATTTAAACAATCTTTTAGCATTAAGTTTTTTTTCCCTTTTGTTTTTGAGTTGAAGAATGGATGCCTGATGACTAACAAAGTAGTTACAAAGAATTCCCTATGGATCGGGCAACTGCAATTGCCAAGGACAATTCTTTACCTTGGTATTGCCTGCTGGTACACATTCAATACTAATCCTGATCTCTAGTTAGTTGCATCATGTGGACAACATAACAGCATATAAAAGTAATTTGTGACTTGTCTCTGATAAGGATGGTAACTTTGCAGGCGAGCAAGTACCAAGACCAAGAAAGAACGGGGAATATATGTAAAACATTTTAAAAATATTCCCATGGCTGATATGGAAATAGTTCTGGTGAGTGGTTTTAGCTACTTTTGTGTAGCTGACCCCAAATAGCTGGGATTAATCTGGGTTGAGTTGAGTTTTTAGCTACCTTAGTTTGGATATTCCTTTTTTTTCTTTTGGTGTGTCTGAGCTCCAATTTCAGTCTTTATATCTTACAATTTGGATTTGTTTTTTCAATAGCCAGAGAAGAAAAATCCTAGCTTAACACCAATGGACTGGGTCAAGTTTCTTGTTTCAGCTGTTCTTGGACTGGTCAGATATCTAATATCCTTGAAGATTGTATGCATTATTCGTTTTTCTCTGTCTAACTCTGGTGTGCCTGTCTTGTCTTCCTTTCCAGGTTGCACTTGTTGGTTCACTTGAAATGCCTAAAGCTGATATTTGGGTCATTATTGCCATTCTCTCTGCACTGATTGGTTACTGTGCCAAGATCTATTTCACGTTAAGTCTTTCTTTTTAATAAATTGAATTTATTTGGGCATGCTTGCATCAATTTATTAATCCATAGGAACAAAATACATGAAGGGAGGATGTCATCCACTATTTTTTCATGAATTATTTTATACTTATATTGGTTTATTGAGTAACAAAAAAACATAAGGGGGTGGAAGGCACCCAGTAATTGATAGTTGCCTAGGAGATCTACATTGCAATTTGACTTGATTGAATGATCATGAAACACATTTTATTTGGCCTTACCCATACATTTCTTGCTTGCAATGTTATAGGATAGATGGTTAAAATCATTAGATCAGCATGAGTTTTCGTGTGGTCCATTTCACCTAGTAGATGAACTGAGTTTGGGGGGTTTCAGGCTCCTCTATATATGCTGTAGTTTACTATTAAGCTATTGGTGGAAATTTGGATGTCCTTATGGTGTACCAGTGTCAAGATGCCTTAGTTTTGTCAGGGTGGATTTTTTTATACATTATACATCTGATTTTTCTGTTCTTTAAATTCTTGATTGCTAATATGGTTAATGTTCTCATCCACTTCATGTAGGTTTCAGCAAAACATGACCACATATCAGAACTTAATCACACAATCCATGTATGACAAACAGTTGGATAGTGGCAAGGGCACTCTTCTTCACCTGTGTGATGATGTGATTCAACAAGAAGTAGGTACCAAGCCAGGAAAATTTTTGTTGTGTTAATATAATCTGTAGAGAACATTGATGTGGGCCCCACAGCTGTGGTCCCACTCTGTCCGTAGGGTAGAATGTATCTAGTCATAGCTGATGGTCAATTTATTATTCAGTTATTCTAGTTGTTATTTACTTTTCAGTTTTATATTGTTATGTGTTATGATGTATACACCAAGGGCAGATGTGTCCTTTCATGTAACTAGCATAACATATAAAAATTAAATTGAAGTGGCGGCGGCAGAATATTGAGATTTTGTTCTTCTACTCAAAAACTGTGTTCTACTGCTCTCTCACCACTCTTTCTCCTTCACTTTTTCTTCTCTTCGAACCTGAAGTTTCTTAGTGATCAAGACTGATAGCAGTCTTGAACACCTACATGGTATCAGAGCCAAGTTGGGGTTTCTCATGTGAGCCTAATACCAGCCGACCACATGAGAATCTCCTAGGACTGGAAGCTGAAAAGGAGGAGTTC